ACTTTCCGCTCATCATTATAGTTCAAGGCTCCAAATATGTGTTCAATACTTTCAATCCAAATTTCAGCCTTCTCAGTATCAGGTTCACCCTTAAATCGAGGGGGCTTGAATTGTTGGAATCTTTCTAGAGCTACATCTTCTCCTTCACATTGTTGACTACGGGGTTGATTTGAGGTGTTAACAGCTCTTTGAGCCATTATTTCCTTGGCAGTTGTCATGTGGGATGTAAATCGTTCCATCTTTAGAACCTGACAGCCACAGTTAGTAATAGCAGAAGTTATTACATTGGAGTATAACATTCAATTGCGTTTTGGTTGCAAGGCTAATAGGTTGGGAAGCACTTGTTTTTGGCGCTCCTTTTTTTTCGTTTTAGTTGTTTTTATTTATTTATTTATTTTTTTGTTTTGGTTCTTCCAGTAATAGTAAACCTTTGAATCATTCACAAGGGGTTTACTTCATTACTTTTGGACAGTCCCTATTTAAGTTTAGTTCTTGCAAATCGCAAAAGCACTATATGATCACCTCCTTGCAACAGTTTCATCATTGGTTATGAAGTTTCAAGTTACATAAAATAGAATTGATCTTTCGAGCTAACAAATTAATCATTCTAGAACTTAGCTTCAATCAAAACACACGGCATGTTCTATTTTAATTTAGCTTATCTTACATGACTGCAGGTTTTTTTTTTTTTTTTAAGCAAAAGAAAAAAAGACTGATCATTAAAGAATTCAAATACATGACTGCAGGTTCTATTATTATGATTAGTATTTTTTTTTTCCAACAAGACTGATCATTAAAGAATTCAAATACAGTTACTTAGTGTAGTTCTTTTGTGCCATCAGCTAATAAGTTCCTTAAACAATTATAGTGCCTAAAGTTCCAAATCGTCCACCCATTCCCATGATTAAAGCCTACGGACCTCAGCTTTTTTCTTTTTATTTTTCTTGTTTTTTTAACATTCCTCAAGCACCTAACTTAAGTACCTATGTACGTCCTATAAGCCTGCTATCTCTGTGTCCATAGCTATCTTATAATCTTAACTCTGAGCTCAAGAAGTCAGAAGCAACCAGTCTTCTTTCAAGACCATAATTGATTCTTGATGATAAATCTCAGTGCTAAGAGTTTTAGCTCTTAAACTTTGACATTTGTACATATCAACAGCATCTGTCAAAATCTTACTCTTGAACTCTTGTACATATATCTTAAAAAAATTATTCCATAGAAATCAATTTCTCAAGTACTACTCTCTGTCTCTGATATTGCTGATCTAATGTTGTTTTTTTTTTTTCCCAAATAAATAAAACTCAGAAACACAAGGAAATGTGACTCATCTTCAAAGTACGTTTTTGAAATAATGGGGATCCATTTCACAATCAGTACATATTGACAAAAAAACTTCTTTCAGTATATAAGGGTTTCAAGAAATGAAAACATTTGTAAAGAATTTTAAGTGGATAAAGTACAGTTGATCAAAGATAGTCTACCCATATAAAGTTATGAAAATTTCAGGAAGCTTCTGAGGGGAAGGCCATTTTAAACACTACTTTTGGACTAATTACAAATCCGTTCAGAAATACGCAGGGTTTAATAGGTACCCTAGCGACTATGGAGGAAAGTAAATAACTGAAATTGATCAAAGAGCTTTCAAATGATGCTGAACCATTCGACTAAAATCAGCAACTCACACCTTTAGTTCTGAAATTTCAAGAAAGTAATGCTCAATTCAGGAGCAATCAAGTGTTCATTTTTCCTACCATTAAGAACTAGCATAAACTTCAACAAGTGAACAAGAGTTCAGGGAAAAGGATCAAGTAAAAAGATTTCAAAATGACTAAATGCGAATTGTTGAAAGTTACTTATCAATCAGAAAATTCTTATGCTGCAGAAATTCAGATTGTGGCCTTCTTTAAGGAATGATTTTGAACTAACCAGAAATCCGTTTGATAAGCCGTAAAGACTGACATAAACCTTATCAAACAAAGAAGAGGTTCAGGAGAAGAAATCATTTCAAAAGATTTTATAAAGATGCCAAACGATCAATGAAAACAGTGGGTGTCAGCTCTCAATTTTCAGAAAATCAGACTCTGCTACGGCAACTTTGAAATCACTTTCAGAGCCAACCGAGAATCCATTTGACAATCCATAAATTTTGACATATACTAGGACAAACAAGGAAAGGATCAGCATAGGAAATTCGGCTAAACAACACTACGAGACTTGAAAATCAGTCCGCACAAAAATCTGTCTCAAAACCAAAATGCTATCTTATTTAACTTTCACAAAACCAGATCAACAATCATCACTATTCGCCCCGAATAGGCCATCCTACAACTCAGATAGATCATCAGATGCTCTACTCCCAAAGATGTTCACCTCTTATGTATTACCCTCAACGGAAACTATCTTTAAGCACTTAGCCAAGTATACCTCAATAACGAACCACAAATGGTTAAAATCCCACAACCTCATCCAAATGTCTTTCGTTCTAATCCAAAAATGAACCTCAACTCATTGTTCCCAAAGAGTGATCATATTCCTATGCTCTGATATCACCTGTAACGACTCGGAACAATCTACCTGTTAGCTTAAACTGCTTCTTAAAGGTTGGGCCGTTTGCCGAGCTCTTGCCCAAGGCACAATACATTACTATCATTTCAAAAGAAAGTACAAAAGGCAAATTTAAATGAACATTGGCAACTATGCTATATTCTTCAACCAGTTAATTATGGACAAAGTCTCAATAACAATAATTATTTCATATCCATAACTTTTACTTTGAATAACATGCTTATCTGACTAACTGTTACATATGTCCGACTAATCCATCGTTCAGCTGAGCTCTGAGGTCCAACTAAATCTCACGTGCTGCTAAACCTGTAAAAGAGTTTTGAAAATAATACGGGTGAGCTATATTGTCTATAGCCCTTGAGTATTCCCGATTTATAAAATGTTCTTATAAATCAATAACGATGAGTACACAATTCACAGTATCATCTCAGAACTGAAGCTTTAATACAAACACTTTAAAGTTAAGAGCATAATAGCTCAAAACACAAACTTAGAACATTTATGAGTTCAAAAATATCAAAAGGTACGTTAAACAGTCAGTCAACTATTTCAAATATTCAAACACTTCTAACCTTTCAATCGCGTTTCACCATCATTCACGAAATAAAGCTAGAACAAGAGATAAAATCTCCAAATTCAGGATTCCAATAACAAATACGATCTAGTGATATACCGGTAATCATTTGGTCAATCAATAACACTTTCAATAAGACATAACCATCGAGTTGTTTCACGATTCGGAACTGGCATTAAGCCGCTTCACGTCCGAATGCTCAGGATTAGTCAATATTTCGATTTGATTCACAGTTTCGGAACCGGCACAATGGCCTGCTTCACGCCCGGAACATCAAAAGATTTCACAATTTCAACACAATATTTTTGGAGCAAGTATTTGAGAACTTTTGTCAAACGTTTACAATAACGATTTCATAAATTTTTTAATTCAAAAGTTAAGGGTTCTTTACAAAAAGAAACTAACCCTTATAAACTCTTTAAATTCAAGAGGACAACAGTTTTGCATTTTAAAACTAAAAGATCTCGTGTAAGACGGCTCAAGACTATAACAACACAAAAACAGTTGTATCAAAGGGTTATTTTGGAGATGGACAGTATAAATTGTTCCAACTATAAGTGCAAGTCACAAAACAACTCTGGTCAAGGAGTATGGGAGTATCTTTGGTAAATAAATTACAAATGAAGAGAAGAATGTGCTCTCGAAATTTATCCAACCCAGGAATACAGATACCAGTGAAGTGTTTAGCTCAACACTAGCTAAAAGTGAGGAGACAACAGTTGGGCACAAAACAATTTACTTGCTAAATATGGAAAATTTACTTATTAGTAACTGAAAAAAAAAATGAAGAACAAAATATGTTTAGGGTTTAAATTGTGGCCAAAAATAGTTTTCTCGCGCTTCAGAAACGCGAAAAAATCAAAATCCGCGTTTTGAAAACGCTAAAAACACAAAATCGCGTTTTAAAAACGCGAATATATACTTTTCGCGTTTCAGAAACACGAAAAAGAAGGAGAAAAAATTAATTTAACATAATCCTAATTAATTAACTTGAATCAATAAGATTTCGCGTTTTGAAAACGCGAAATCAATTAAAAAAACATTTTATTTAATAAAAAAAGAAAATAGGCATAAAAATATGATTAATTTGACTAGTTTAAAACGTTATAGGGAAATTGACTTCAAAAAATTATTAAATTTGAATAATGGTAACAGAAAATTTTAAAATTATAACAGTTAATCATTAAATTTTGAATAGAGCTATAAAGAGGAAAATTATATTGATAATTTTAATAATACAAAAATTAAATTTTGAATAAGAATATAATATTATAATTGATACTCATTAAATAAAATAGAGCTATACTAAATATAAATTATTAAAAGTATGATATAGTTATTATAATGTATTAATTTTTTAGAACATTATATAAAAAAATTAATAATGATTATATTAAAAATTTTTATTAAAAATGTAATCATTATTTTAAAAATAATTTTATATGAAAAATTTTCAATAATGATAATGACGTAATTTTATGGATTTAATGAGATGTAATTTAATTTACAAATTAATTTTATTAATTATGATGGTTTTAATATAAGAAAAAAGCTTAAAATAAGAATAAATTTTATTAAATATTTATTTTAATTTACCAACACTTAAGATGAAGCAACTATTAATTATGAAAAAAAATATAAGAAAGTTTAAATATGTGTTTCGATTTGATCGGCGAAGATGTGTTTTGTAAATATTAATTATTGTATTTACGATGCAGGTGAAATCAAACTATTAAGAATATTAATACAAGTCATAACAAAATACTACAAGTCATAACAAAAGGTAAAAAAAAACAGAAATGAACAAAAGGGAAAAAAAAATACAAGTCTAATAATACTACATAAGAAGTCTAGTACCCTACTTCTTCTTGGGCTTTTTAGCCCGAAAAAGGCTATAAGTCAATCTATCGGGCTCCTTCGTCACTCTCTGGCCTTTACTCACAGCCAACGGTGGAGTCCCTAGAGTCTGACTCGATCCCTGCTCCTCATGGCGCTGATAACCCTGACCCTCAAACTGATCATCCTGGTCTGCATCCTCAGCCTCATCCTCATCCTCATCCTCAGCCTCATCCTCAGCCTCATCCTCACCCTGACTCTCACGCTCACCTCACCTGGGTTATCGGCTGATGCGACCCGCAACACCCTCGAACATACTCGAAAGAAAGTTACTCGTGTAATGTATCGATGGCCATCTAGCGAACTCTGCTGAAACCGAAAAGTCAATAAAAGAATCTCCAAACCGACGCCGAGAAGTCGAGGGGAGGAAAAGCGAGTGAAGGAAAAATTGACTCTTGGTCTGGGAGACATAATCGGACGGTAAAACGCACGATGGGTCGGCGAAGAATGATGTGGAGACTGATGGGAAGAATGATGTGGAGACCGATGGGCTGAATGCTGTCGAGAATGGAGTGGAGATCGATGTGGAGACCGATGGGATGAACCGCCGGTGAAGGGAATATGAGGCTCGCTCATGCTGGGAGGACCGATGTGGCTGAGATGTTGTGATTGTCTCTTGCCCCCACGCCCACGCCGAGACCCGCGCGAACGCCTCGGAGGTCCAGGTGGTGGATGTTCTTGGGTCGGGTCTACAGTGCAAGTTCTTGACTCAAAATGTCATGAACCTCAACATGCCTATCGAGATCGTGACGTACAACATTTGTTGCATTGACGGACAACGCCCGCTCGGCAACTGGGCAATCTCGCCTAGCGATCATAACCAAAGGAGTCCGCGTCGAAAGTACGCTGGCCTATAATACTCGGACTACGAACGTCCTCCATCAATGTGGCCTGAAATTTTTATTAGAAAGAATCATAAATCGACAACAAGTGTTAATAAAAAGAACCAAATGGATCGTAGGCGAAATACTCACCATGAGGCGCAAGGTCTCTGCAGAACCGTGAAAACCCCTCGCATTTTCAGAGTCCGTCGGATCCGTAACATACTTCACAGTAACCTGATGGTACCACAAGAGATACTCCGGATCTGCGGAAGGCTCGCCAACATAAAGATCATCAGTCCCCACAACTTGGCCGTGGCGATCATTCCAAACCTGGAGATATATCCCTAGTTGTTGTAACCATCTCCTATCGGATCCTCCAAACGGCTTCCTCTTGAGCAGGCTAGTAATTTCCGCCGCAGTGAGAAGTAATGCGTCGCCGGGTATCCGCTGGTGATAACCAAATTGGCGAAATACCCTACTGGGGTTGTGTGGCGCAACGACATCACCGCAGATGAGCCATGTCTGAGATCGCCATATGCCCTGTCCCACAAGACAAACCCTGGCAATACGACCCAAAAGAGTCGTGTACGGCATCCAGACAAACTGCAATGGTAATTAAGTAAGAGACGTGTAATTAAAAGTTCGACACCGTTAAAAAAAACGAATAAAACATAAGTTATACTAATTGAATAGAATACTAACATCGACTCTGAGAACCGCAAGTCGATCCCGTGCGCGGCCAAATTGAACCGCGTGATACCTTGAACTTTTTCTCGCGGGACCACGCACGGAGAAAGTAACATTAAATTGAGACATGACAAGACAAATCAAAATGTCAAAATTTACGAAGGTTTGATGTATAAGATTACCTCGTGCCCAATGGACAATCGGATAGATCGAGATCCGCATCCAATATCTTGGGCTGAACCGTCAAAATCCGCTCCCGGGCCCGAGCTAATTCGAATGAAGAAATCATTAGCTAAAATCACCAATAATAATGGGAGAATATAAAATGAAACTAGAGAGAAATGAAAAGATAAAATACCGAAGAAGAATCACACACCGGTAATAGCCTTGGCGAAGCGGCGAGAGATGACTGGACATCTTTGCGGTACAAGTAACATAGTGCAGCACTACCCCAATCGTACTCCGAGCAAATCTCGGGAGTATGAAGAAAATGCACAAGATCGAGAGGAAAACTGTTTCTCATAGTGTTTGAGAACAGTAATCCGCCAACGAGCCATCCAACAAAACAACGGGCTCGCTGTAGGTGTGCATCGTCAGGGGACAGGTCCGTCAAAGGATTATTCTCTATGTGAGTCTTTATTTCAGTGATGGAAACACTCGTCAATCTAGACTCCTCTGTCTGGAACCTAAATCCAAACATCCTCTCCAAATAGGCTGCCCAACCACCATCAGGCGTGGTGTGATGTCCTGTAACTGGACGTCCATCAACCCGAAGGCCCAAAAGAACCTCGACGTCCTGGAGTGTGATAGTAGCCTCCCCAAAAGGTAAATGAAATGTATGGGTCTCTGGGCGCCATCGCTCCACAAGAGCTATAAGCAGGGCATGGTCACATCTGATGGACCCAACTCTAGAGAACGGTCCAAAACCAAATTTCTCAATATATTCCTTTGTCAACCTCGGTGCATCTTTTATTAATTTCCACGCGGCGCTATCTACGCGCCTGGGCTCCGAACTCCCTATATCATACTGTGCACCATGGAATATATTGTGTGACCTATGGGTGTTTTGGAGAAACAACAAACTACTGTCTCTGGGTCCCTGCCGTAGCTTCTTTGAGGTAGCTTGGGAGGAAGAAGATGATCCAATGTCCATGGCTAGTACAATTTACAAATAGTTTTAGTAAGTACAGATTAATATTATTATTCTTTTTTATTCTAATCTAATTATTCATTTATTAAATATTTTAACCCTACATTTTAGTAAATACAGATTAATATTATTATTCTAATCTAATTATCCTATACATTTCAAAATTCCAAACCTATATTTTAGTAAATACGGATTAATATTATTATTCTAATCTAATTATTCTTTTATTAAATATTTTAACCCTACATTTTAGTAAATACAAATTAATATTATTATTCTAATCTAATTATCCTATACATTCAAAATTTCAACCCTACATTTTATTATCCAAAACCCATATTCTAAACTCAACCCAATCCCCAACCCAAAACCCACATTCTAAACCCAACCCAAAATTCATATTTTAAACCCAACCCAATCCCCAACCCAAAACCCACATTCTAAACCCAACCCAAAATTCATATTTTAAGCCCAACCCAATCCCCAACCCAAAACCCACATTCTAAACCCAACCCAATCCCCCAAACCCTAAACCCACATTCTAAACCCAACCCAATCCCCCAAACCCTAAACCCCCTAAGCCCAACACCCCACAAACCCTAAGCCCAACCATAAACCCTAAACCTACCCCCCTCTCTACACCCCCGCATTCCCCGCCGCCCCCCTCCCCTTCATTCCGCCGCCCCCCCTTTCATTCCCCGCCGCCCCCACCCTCCCCGCATTCCGCCGCCCCCACCCTCCCCTTCATTCCGCCGCGCCCCACCCTCCCCTTCATTCCCCCGCCGCCCCCCCCACCCTCCCCTGCATTCCGCCGCGCCCCACCCTCCCCTTCATTCCGCCGCCGCCCCTCCCATTCATTCCCGAATTTTTTCACCTAACCCAAACCCGAATTTTTAAAAAATTCCACAATTACAACACCTATAATACTAGATCTATTAACGGTTCATTAAATCAGGAAATAAAATTACAAATAAAACGAACACAAAATTTATAGGAATCGAAAATTAAAACATGAATTAAAAAGAAACGATTAAATCAGAGCAAAAAACACAACTTACCTCGATATATAGCCTACAAAATGCAAAAAATTGATGCCGAAACAATTCCGGCAACTCTCCCGGAAAAACCGCCGGTTTCAATGGATTACGCCGGATATATGGTTCTGTTTGAGAAACATCAACCCGAAACGCGAAAATTTAATTTAAGCACCCATTTTCGCGTTTCTAAAACGCGAAAACAACCAATCTTTAAACAAAATCGCGTTTCAGAAACGCGAAAATAATGCCCTCCCTATTTTCGCGTTTCAGAAATGCGAGAAAAAATACTCCCCCTTTTTTCGCGTTTCAGAAACGCGAGAAAAATACTCCCCCTTTTTTCGCGTTTTACAAACGCGAGAATAATACTCCCCCAATTTAAAATTTTAGTCGTTTATTCTTTAAGTCGGATATATGGTTATATTAATTTCGGTGATGACAAATAACTAATTTTCTTACCTTTAGTGTTTATCAAATAACTAGTGCTTTATTCGACATGTATATATCCTATAGTAATAATTAATAACATTACTAAAATGAACTGCGACGTTTCGGTTTTACAAAAACATTACTAATATAAATTACAGAAACATCCAAACCAACATACTAAAACAAATACAAACGCAAACTGAATCATCCTCTGAGGTTTACTACATGAATGTTCAAAACAACACAAAAATACGAACACTAACAGAATAATCACTACGCTTCATCATCATCATCATCAGAATTGATATTAGGCACACCATGAATTCCATATGGATCATACAGTTTATCAATACCGGTCTGTCAAGCAGTGGATGAGAAAAAGGGCATTCGACAAAGATCATGATCTAAACTTCCACATCGTGCGCAAACTCTCGCATATGGGCAAGCCACGGCATTATGGCCTTGTAGCTTACATAAACCGCAAGTTTGGAGTCTTCGCGGCGCGATTTGCTTGTATAATCCATCACACCTTTTTCCGATTCACACGCTTCCGACCTCGGCCAGCATGATGGACAAGTTTAGTGTCATCTCGGCTCGATCCGCCACGTTGCCTTTGGCCATGGTTCCATGATTGGGTTGAATTCTCCAGAAAACTGTTGGTACCATTGATGCGTAGTGTAACATGGATCAAAAAGTGGGAAGGGATCGTCACCTAGCTCACGGGCAACTCGAAGTGCATGGGAACAAGGAAATCGAAAGTCGCCACCTTCCGCAAGTGCACTCTCGATTTGCATACAGCACAACTTGCTTCTCGTCAGCCTTCCATGGTTGATTATCAGGTGCTATTGTAACCACTTCGTACTTCTGGTTTCTCTTGCTAAACCGGTTGACCTTTTGCCTCAACGATTTCTTCCGGCCTCTTCATACAGTTTCATTGGAGTAGGAGGTAGAACAGTCGACATTTTGGATCATATCAATGTTTGCACGAAGCAGTTGTTGCTTTTCCGAAAGGATGCTAGGATCAATCTTGTGATCGGGAAGAATCTAGCACCTTTCAGCACATTATTGAAACTCTCGAGATGTTAGTGGTCATTTCTCCCCAACGATGCCCTCCATCGTGTAAACAGTCCATTTCTCAACACCCCTACGAAGCCAACGAGCAGCGTGCTCATTTTTTCTTCTAATTTTTGCCACTCGCCAAGAACCTTGTCTTTTGCGTCGCTGAACCAATCATTTGACAGCTTGCCTCGCAGTTTCTCCTTTCGAAAATGCCCAACCAAGTTTGCTTTAACATGCTCTAGACAATAACGGTGGACGCCCATCTCTCGGGAATTTTTGCAACATGATGTCCATGGCGTAAGGATACCCCGATTTCGATCGAGATAATACAGTCTTCCTATCCCGTAGAACAAACTTTTCAAATACTTCAAAACCATTTCCAGTGTGTATAGTCTCTTCGTCCACAAGAGCAAATGCGATGGGAACAATCGTGCCATTTGCGCACTTTACGCATGCCACAATTAGTTTTCCTTTGTAGGATCCTCGCAGTGAGTGGCATCGATGGTTATTACGGCCAACAAGCATGAAATAAGCGTATAGATGGCCCAAATGCCCGAAAACATACCTACATACAAACCTTTGTGAGCTTCCTGAATTTTCCTTAAACTTGAATTGCACACAAGTGTCCGGGTTTGACATGAACAATGCATCGAGGAAGCTGGGCAATTGTTGAAAATTACTTTCCCATGTACCATACAGAGCCTCAAGTGCTTTTCTTCTACCATGCCATGCCTTCTTGTAGCTGCATTCGACTTGGTACCTCTTCATCACTTCTATTTGAATTTGGGCAACTGCAAAATCTGGATGTTTTCGCACATTTTGGGCAACCAGTCTAGCAATCATAGAAGACGTGACATTTCGGGACTCGTTTCTCTTGTTTGCCCCAAGACAGTTGTGAGAATCGGACCATACCACCATTTTCCAAGTATCGGTGGCCTTCTGTAGCGAAACTCGCGCCTTCCACAGACAATCATAGCCGTGAAGGCGCTCTTTCGGATATTTAGGTCCACACGTCTCGCATTCGACATACCATGCTCGTTTTCACCCGGAAAGTCCGACCATGTACCAAGTTCCATTCTCCCACTGCCGCTTGTGCCTCAGGCTTGTTGGCGAAATGTATATCAAGGCCTAGCGTCAACGGATTGCCATCCCACATTTTAATTCCATCGTTTTCTACTTCCTCTAAAGTCTTGTCCCATCCACTTATGTCGTCGAAAACATATGGGACTGAAGAAGATGACTCAAAATCAGTGTCGTCATCTGAGTCCTCATCCGATGGGACGTACTCATCATCACTGCTTTCGACACCCCCGACATCTTCATCTTCATCTGCATCTTCATCTTTATCTTCATCTTTATCTTCATCTTCATCTCCATCTTCATCTCCATCTTCATTGTCTTCAACTGTTCTACCACCACTAGTGCTAGCACCAATATCCTGACCAGATGTACTTGCATAAACATGGCCTGTTCTCTCAACTTTTTCAGGGTACAATTCTGGCCATTTATCAGCACAAAGATAAATGAACCGAACAGTATTATCATCATTAATGTGCACACGAGACCTTTTTCCTGACCTCTCCGTCCATACCAAAGAAAAATCAATATAAAGCCCTTCTCTATCAACTCCGATCACACTTAATACCTTATCAACAAGTTCCGAGAAATCTAACATACGATCAATGATAAGATAACCGTCCGGCGCATCCCGCTGTACCGTGATAGTCCCATCAGGTTCAGTTGTATAAGTAGTATTCCAAGATAATTTGAATTTAACCGTATCCGTGAAAGACATTTGCGGCTGCAAAATCAATTCCTACCAAATCAGTTTGCGGCCATAGTATTTACCCCGTTTACAGATTTAATAATTTTAAAATAACAACTATACGCCTGAATTTACAAATTCATTTGTATGCTCAAAATTAATATTAAATCTAAACCTTATGCCCGAATTACATAATTTATTCTTATGCTGTAAATATTCAAAAATTCATTATCATTATTATAATTTTATTTTATTTTACAGAAATCGATGTACAATAATTTACAATGCTCATCTAATTTAATATTCTATTAACTAATATTTCTTTCAATTTACTTTATCAGCCTCAATAAAAAACCACCGTTAATTGACTAAATCACAATTATATATTAACTAATAATAATGCGTAAATCATCCTATGTTCATAATAAAACATAAAAAAGTACATGTTTTTAATAACGAAATAAACTTACCTCAATGTTAAAACTTAGAGTTTTAAATAGGCTTCAGGACTCAAATCAATCTTCTTTAACCTCGGAGCAACTTCTCAATTTGAATAAAATGAGAGCTTTCACGAATTCAGCAAGTCCTCCGGAGTAAAACTTAAAATCGGAGTTCAACAGAATGAAAGAAATTTGGAAAGAAAATTCGGAGCTGAACAATGAAAGAAATTTGCGGAGAGATGCTGTTAAAGCTTGTTTTATATATGAATCTTAAACTTCGCGTTTAACAAACGCGAATAGATTCCAGACTTATCATAAAAAATACACGTGGAGACGGGTGAGTGGATGAGGAGATTTTCTGGATATTTTCACGTTTTAAAAACGCTAAATCTATTTTTCGCGCTTTGAAAACGCTAGAAATTTTGTTCCGCGTTTTCAAAACGCTAAATTCTTATTTGCAAAATTTACGCTTTCAAACTTACAGATTTTCGCATTTTTTAAACCCGAAAATAGTTTCTCGCGTTTTGAAAACGCGAAAACAAAGTTTCGCGCTTTGCAAACGCGTCTTACGTTTTTCGCGTTTCTAAAACGCGAAAAACCGATTTTTTTTTTTTCTTTTTGCTTTCGACCCGTTTGAAGCTGAGTGCATGGAATTAACATTATTCGCGTTTGTGAAACGCGAAATGTTAATCTAATTTGATTGTTTCGCGTTTTCAAAACGCGAGAACATTATATTTGTCTACAAAATAAACCCTACACATTTTTTGTTCCACACTTTTGGGTTTGGCTCACCCAAAAGTCAAGCACCCTGCTAAATATTTGATAAGAACAAATGAGAGCCTAAGACTAGATTGTTGGTTAACTTAGGAATATAGACAAAAACAATCTTTGTACGATTTGTTTACACAAAGGATGGCTTTCTTATAAAATGAAATGATGTTTCTTATAAAGAATCAGGCTAATCATCGCATATCAAACTGCTTTTGATTAAATCATTTATGAAAGAAAGAAGCTTGGAACTAAGAATAGCCAGTGATATTCAAGATACTTAAATCAACTTCTAGGGCATAAGTACAGCAAGTACCTTATAAAGGTTGCAAATATACATTCATTTGAAATAAAGTGGCCTCCAAAATATCAAATAAAGCATTTTAAAAGCACTAATTGTAAGATACCTCTTTTGAAAGCAATTTTAAAAGCCGATTATAAATATTTACAAGGAAGATAGCTTCTAAACATTTCAGGAGCACATAGATATATATATATACATATATGTATATATATATATATTGAGTGGCAACAGAGTACTCAGAACACCTTTCTGTAAAGAGAACAGAGACTCACTGGCGAGCAAAGTTTAACTGCCAGCTCTAGACTCCTACTCTTGCGTCTCTAATTATTTCAGAAGTTTCGATGTCATTCGTCAAGTTCCTATCTCGAATTAACAACCTCCTGCCCTGTCCTTCACTCTATTTCCTAATCACTTCTTGTTCAAACCCCTTTAATGCCTCCTATTCCAATTTACAGCATGGTAACAGAATATTTTGGCACAACTTTTTCTTTGACTAGTTTAACAAAGGAATTGAATTCTCAATCGGGTGGCTTAAACTTTCAAGAGGTTGGGTGTATAATCCTTGATAGCTAGAACTAATATTTTGATGATGGTGAAATGATAATTGCTGCGGGGAGATTCATGAAGAGGATGGTCGATGATCGGCGAGAATGAAAAGGTAGAAGCTCGGGACAAATGAAGCTTAACAATGAAGCACCGTTTTTTTTTAACATTAATATAGAGTCAGATTTATCTTCTCTTCTTCTTAATTCTCTTCTTATATTGACCGAACTGATAATGGTGATCCTGAAATTTGTGAGAATAGTCTAAAGCCAAATAAATACTTGCTTTGCACTTCAGATGACTTGGACATAAATTAATTTAGTGGAATCATTTTAAGTTGGGTGGTGGCATTAGAAAAGATGAAAATATAGAATCTCTTCTATTTTATTTCAAATGGCACTGTCTTGTGATTTTATTTTATTTTTTTGGCTAGTTAACTATTACACGCTTATTAGTAAGCAAGCAAGGAGGTACCAGATACGGGCTTCACAATTGGGATTTCACTCAGTTAAATTTGTCCAGTTCGATAAATTTCAAGGGACTCCCCATGTCCCGGCAATTCTAGCTAAGGATACTCATTGAGTTGGACGGGCCTAGGAAGATAACTGCCACACCACCACACTATTGTCCATTGAATTTTGCATTGTATTAAGCTATTGAGTAAAAAGAATTCATCCACACGGGATTTCTTGCCAATCACTTCAACATCAACCATATATAGATCAAAATCATCCATCACCAATTTTCTCATTGTAAAAACTAATGTAGAAGAAGTGATATGTGAAGATCTAGAAGAATGGTTGGGGCACTATCTTAGAATAACGAAGTCTAAATTTGTGTTATTAGGGATATTAATTGTAGAGAAAGAAAAAAAAAAGAATCAATTTTTTGTTTTTCTATAGAAAAAGGAATATTAGATTTAGAGGAGATGGCATAGGTTGGTAGAGGTTTAGAGGAATAATAAGCATCTGTACATGGTTGATGAGTGTTTCATGGCTGGTTACAAACGAGAAATAGTGTTAATAAGAGATTCAATATTGACTGGTGGAATTGATTTTGAGTATGGGATGATGATGGTTGGATAAGTGAATTTGTAATTGTGTTGGATGGGTTTATATGTGGATGTGAAGAACGAATTGGGGAAGATGGTATTTTAAAGGGATAACATTAGATATTGCTTAGATGTTTAATTACTTTAGTAGTATATTATTATTTTGACTTTGGTTATGTTAAAGATTTGAATGTTTTGCTAAATTATCTTGGTTTAATTACTTTAGTAGTATGTTATCATTTTGACCTTGGTTATATTAAAAACTTGAATGTTTTGCTAAATTATCTTGGTTTAATTACTTTAGCAGCATATTAGCATGCATTTTGATCTTGGTTATGTTAAAGTCTTGAATGTTATCATGATTTAATTACTTTAATAGTATGTTATCATTTTGACCTTGGTTATGTTAAGATTTGAATGTTTTAGTTCAATTAGTTTACTAGTATGTTGTCATTCTACACTGGCAAAGCAGAGTAGCATTTACAATTCTCGGTATAGAAGAGGTTGGTTGTGGTTGGAATGTATAGGGCTCTTGTAGCAGTAGCGCGGTAGAATTGTCTCACTCCAAGGTGCTACTTCTTCATCTGAATTCAGGAACTACGAAAGGATCTGGTTCATTTGTTGGGTGTTTGGAAACAAAAGGATTCCAATAATTTTTGCTTCGAGCCAACCGCCGTAGTTTGGAGGTTACATGCATTGCCAGCATTTGGGAGTCTTGTAAGTGGTAGCACCGTTCCGCTAATCTTTCATATTTCAAAACAATTACAATTTTGTCCCCTTGATTGTCAATTTGTAGAGTCTCACCAAAGGTTTTTTGATATTAATGTTTACTTTAAACCAAAGAAAATGATCAATACAATTATGATCAACATCTTTGTAAACCTCCATAAATTGTCCAATAAGATTACCAGCAAATACAACAAATTATTCATTCATCTTCAAATGGACAATGATACAACTGAATCCACTAAGGACGCATATATTAAAATCCACATCTAAATCCTCAGAGGGGTTCAAAATAAGAAGATATTTTCTTCCTAGCATCTAAGTTTCACCAAATAAAACCCTAGCCCGATCAATACGATCATTGAATCTGAAATGTACTAGATTTTTCCCGATTGGTCGTATCGGTAAAATCATGTCTCACTAACTATTTGTTAAGGGAATGAGTTCCAATAGAGTCATAAAACAAATATAGGACAGTGAAATTTATGACCAATAGTGAGAAATGGATCAATACATGTGCGATTCAACGGTCTGGTGGAGTGTTTTGTAGATTTATCATCTATGAGAGGTAATCTTCCAATATTAATTTTCAACTCCTTTGTTGTCATTGGCACAATAAACAAAGAAGAAATCAACCACAGGCGATAAAGGATATGAGAATCCGTCGATGCGAACTAAAATACACGAACAAGATCTACTCAAACAATAGGTATGAACAACAACCAAACCGACAACAACGACATGTCTTTTTCCCACTTGATGGGGCCAGCTATATGGATCATATGTCGCCATCGTGCTCAATCAATGCACAAATCATCGGTCAAATTTAAATATTTCAAATCATTTTTTATAGCTTCTTTCTCTTTTTTCTTAGGTCTATCCCTACCCATTTTATTTTGAATTCTTGATTATATAGTTTCCACCCTCCTATCTAGGGCCTTTACCGGTCTCCTACGCACATGCTTGAACCATCTCAAGTTATCTTCTCTCATTTTTTGTTTGTTGGAGCTATCCTACTCTCTCTAGTACAATCATTTATAATCCTATCCAATCTATACCCACAAATCCATCTTAAGATTCTCATCTCACATACTCACATTTTTTTGCTCATTTTCATATTTAGTAGCCCAACACTTAGATCCATAAAGTATCACCAGTCGAATGGCCGTTCTACAGAACTTAACTTTCAAACTCACTG